GGACTGGGATGGGACTGGGATGGGACTGAAGTGTGATTTGGGGGCAAACTGGAAGGTGACTGGGAGACACTGGGGGGTGATTGGAGAGCACTGGGAGGTGACTGGAAGCAAGTGGGGCAAACTGGAAGGTGACTGGACAGTACTGGGAGTGAACTGGGGGGTGACTTGGGAGCACTGGGACTGACTGGAAGCAACTGGGGCAAACTGGAAGGTGACTGGGAGACATTGGGGGGGTGATTGGAGAGCACTGGGGGGGACCAGTGGGAGGTGATGATGGAGCACTGGGAGTGACTGGGACAGCACTGGGAGTGACTGGGATGTGTCTGGGAGCAACTGGGAGGCACTGGGAGGCGCTGAGAGTGACTGAGATGTGACTGGGAGTGACTGGGATATCACTGGGAGAGACTGGGAGGAACTGGGGATCAATTGGGAGCGACTGGGAGGGACTGGGCATCAACTGGGAGTTCATTATTCATTAGAATAGGGGGACATTACTGCATTTGTTTTTCTTACTGGGGAATCCTAGATAGATAATTCCTGAAATCTATAAACTTGTACCCGTGCTATACACGGGTGTGCATTCTCCCATCAAGTTGTGCACCTGGGATCCCAAATACCGAGGTAAAACCCGTTTTTATCCCCTGAACTGTGTCTGTGTCATTATTAAAAACTGGCCTCTCAAGGCAACACGACCACTGTGGCCACCAAGGCTATTGTGCAGAGCAATTTGTTGTGGGTTGACCCTGGCTGGATGCCAGGTGCCCACTAAATCTCCCATCACTCCCTTTCCCTCTAGGACAGGGGAGAACAGCCAGCAGGGTGAGATAAAGTAGTTTTATTACAGCAAAGATACAAAAATAAGCAAAGATTTGCGTGCGCAAAAGCTAAAGGAAAAAAAGAAATCAATCTCTACTTCCCGTTAGCAGCGTTGTTCGGGCGCTTCCCAGGAAGCAGGGCTTCAGCACGCGTAGTGGTTGCTCCAGAAAGCAAACATTGAAAACTCAGGAATGCTCCCCATTCCTCCTCTCTCTTCCAGGTTATAAATCTGATGAGAA